GAGATAGTATCAAATTCTGTGTCTGTTTCCCACTTGTTATACTGTCCAGTGCATTGGGTAAAGGTATTACAAGTATACCTTATTAACTTACTAATAAATGAATATCTCTCCAACTTCTGTCACCTCCCAGCTTACTCCACAATGGATGTTTTCTGTGATGGAAAATTTGTAGTGGAATGTCTTACTTAAGGCAGGAAACATAAAAGTAAAAAAGCAATAATGAGAAATGACTGGTTTGAACATGACAAGTGAGAAGGATGTTGAGATGTATGAAGGGAGAGCTATATAGTTTGCAAAATCAGAAGAGAATGGCTCTTTTGATGTTTTTGTTCCTTGAGATGACTCACACCAATAATGCATTTCCTTGTGTACAGCAGAAGATTCCAGCTCTGATTCCTGGCCCAAAAACACAGAAGGACTGCAAATACATTTCTGAAAATGTATTTTTTATCACCCATACATGTTTCCTGTATGTTTTCTATAAAATAGACTTCATCTTCACCTGTACGTAGACCTTCATTTCAGAGTTTAGGTCTTAATTTTGTTTGCAATCAAGTAAATAGCGTATCGTAAATGTGTTTGCTCTGCCTGAAACTTGTGAGGCGCAGGGAGCCATTTAGGTTGTTTCATTTTTTGGTGAGTTTACTTAATTGTGTAATTTTGAAATGATACAATTGATACTATGTTAATCTTTAAAATAAGAATTTCTCCAGGTTCTGCAGTAGTTCTCTCCAAATAAAACATTCTTATTACATTTTGTTAGGGGGATGGTAATTCAGTTCATTTATTTTGATTTTGTCATGTTTGGGATATATATGTTTTTAAACTTACTTCATGTGCCAAGTAGTTTTCGGACAAACCTCTGCAGAATCCAACCCTCTTTTCCCTGTCGGATGCTTTCTGGGGCATGGCTCTTGCTCAGGAATTGAGCTGAACCCAGAGGAAGTTGGTGAATGCTTGCAGAATTCTAGATGTGCCACTGGCAACCTCCTTCCGCAGCATGTAAACCACAATTGGTGCAAATCAAGTGTGTGGCAGAGGGATGCTGCTTGCACAGGGTTGATGCCAGTTTGCACCCCAGAACATCAGATTCACAGCTACAAGAAAGTGGATTGGAGTCTGAGGACTGGGACTCCACAGTATCCAATGGACCCCCAAACCCTGTCATGAGCTAGGCTTCCGCCCTTCACACATTGACACCCAAAGACCTTTCTTGAAAAACATTGTTCTTTGACCAACACATTTTCTGGAAGCACAAACACACAGTATGAATCTCAGAGCATGTGCAGAACAGGTTGTTGAACATAGTCTAGGATTCAGTACCAACAACTTTCCTTATGAGAATGGCTGGACCCTATCCCTTTGGAAGGGACCCTCAGAAAATGAACATGCCTCCTCTATGTACATCAAAAGTCTAATTGGACCATCCTCATCTGCCCACTTCATGAGGTTGAGAGCCATGCCTGCCTTAACTGTCTCTGAGAAACTTCCCTGTTCCAAGTCCTGTCCCTATGATTTCAAATCTTGGTTATTCTCAAGGGCTGCTTGACCACCTAGGGTGTGTGGGTTTGATGTAAGTAACTAAATTTTTCCCATTCCAACATTTGGAACTGGCCCCCATTCCTGCACTTGCTCGTCCTCTGAAGTCCCGCCAGCAGCACTTGAGAATGTTCTCCAAGAATCCCTCTTTTTTCATTCCCAACACCCCAGAATGAACTCCTCACACATACCTATTGTTAACAGCCTTTCTTAGAAACAGGGTGTTTGCTGCTGGTTTGTTGATAACCACAGTGAATTATGGGATTCATAATGCTGATAGTTTCTACACTTAATAGTACTTACTAAGCTACTATTTGGTAGTTTCTACACATCATTTCATTCTGGTCCAATTGTTTACTGTTATAGGTACTGGTTTTTCCTTGAATATCAGAAAACACTTCTTTATTATTTATTGTCACAGTGGTCAGACAATGTGACTATCTACCTAACAGGTTGATGGACATTCCATCCCTGGAATTACTCAGGCAGAGATTGGACATCCATCTTTG